TATATATATATATATATATATATATATATATATATATATATATATATATGGATAAGCAATTCCATGCAAATGTCAACCTTGCCATGAAAGAAAATGACGGTTTCACCAAAATACAGAAACTGTTTTTTGTGTAAACAAGTATTTTATGGTACTTTAGAAATACTCAAAAATGTCTCTGGTAAATCAAATATAAATGTTTGAAAACATTGACAAAGTCACACTAATGGCAATTTCACATCCATAAAGGAGAAATGTCACATCCATAACGACACTTTTTCCTCATAAATGAAAAAATGTCAAATAAAATAAAATAAAAAAGTTTTGTTCTATAGGGAGTAACTCTTCTCCTTTTGATTATCATTGTTTCTTTTGGGTTGTGCAGTTTAATTCACAGAATTTCTACAAAGTGTGCTGTACACTCCAAGCTCACAGACTTTTTTTGTCACATCCAAAACAAGTTTATTTTCCTCATTTAAAGTAGAATTTTTTTTTTTGCAGATTTATATTTTTCTGGGGCGAGGCAGTGGCGCAGTAGGTAGTGCTGTCGCCTCACAGCAAGAAGGTCGCTGGTTCGAACCTTGGCTCAGTTGATGTTCTGTGTGGAGTTTGCATGTTCTCCCTGCCTTTGCGTGGGTTTCCTCCGGGTGCTCCGGTTTCCCCCACAGTCCAAAGACATGCGGTACAGGGGAATTGGGTAGGCTAAATTGTCCGTATTGTATGAGTGTGTGTGTGAATGTATATGTGGATGTTTCCCAGAGATGGGTTGCGGCTGGAAGGGCATCCGCTGCTAAAAACTTGCTGGATAAGTTGGCGGTCATTCCGCGGTGGTGACCCCGGATTAATAAAGGGACTAAGCCGAAAAGAAAATGAAAGAATGAATGAATGAATATTTTTCTGATCCCATAAGTCGGTGGTCAGTTGTTCTGGAAAATATAAACAGCTGTTTCAATATAATGTTGACATATACTTTCTCTGTGAGATTATGTTTTGAGTTGTTACTGCAAATGTCACGTCCATAACGCTGGAATTGCTCATATATATATATATATATATATATATATATATATATATATATATATATATATATATGGGTCGATGCAGTAGGTAGTGCTGTCGCCTCAAAGCAAGAAGGTCGATGGTTCGAGCCTCGGCTGGGTCAGTTGGCGTTTCTGTGTGGAGTTTGCATGTTCTCCCTGCGTTCGTGTGGGTTTCCTCCGGGTGCGCCGGTATCCCCCACAGTACAAAGACATGCGGTACAGGTGAATTGGGTTGGCTAAATTGTCCGTAGTGAATGAATGTGTGTGTGGATGTTTCTCTGGGATGGGTTGCGGCTGGAAGGGTATCTGCTGCGAAAAACTTGCTGGATAAGTTGGCGGTTCAATCCGCTGTGGCGACCCCGGATTAATAAAGGGACTAAGCCGACAAGAAAATGAAAGAATGATACACACACACACACAAACAAGTGTTCTCTCTCTCCAAGTTCAAGATAAATTGTGCTGTGTGTGTGTGTGTGTGTGTGTGTGTGTGTGTGTGTGTGTGTGTGTGTGTGTGTGTGTGTGTGTGTTTCAGGTGGTGGATGTGTTTATGGAGGGGAATCTGGTGCAGCAGTGTACTTCCTTCCTATTGGATGCTCTAAAAAACAACCGGCCAGAGGAGGGGCCTCTGCAGACACGCCTCCTGGAGATGAACCTCATTCACGCCCCTCAGGTGAGGAAACATTCCATGCAAATGTCAATAAAAATAGTGGAACCCTTTTAGGTTGTTTGTTTAGGCTCGTATTTTACAGTACTGTACAAATACTCAAACATGTCTCTGTTAAATCAGTTATAATTGTTTGAAAACATTGACAAAGTCACACAAGTGCCAATTTCGCATCTGTCACATCCATAACCAAGATTTTTCTTCAAATGCAAAAAAAAGTAAAATAAAATCAATTATTTTAATTTCATAGAGAGTCAACTTTTTTTTGTTTTTCATTATTTCTTTTGGGTTGTGCAGTTTATTTTCACAAAATTTTTACAAAGTATGTTGAATAATGAAAACTTGCATACTTTTTTGGTCACATCCATAACGCATGTTTGTCCTTCAAAAAAAGAGTAGGGGTTTCTCCCCGGCATCCTGACCAAAGTTGCCCACTGGCCTCTGTCCATCATGGCCTCCTAACCATCCCCATATTATAGTTGGCTTCATCACTCCACCAGTCAGTTGGTGTGGTGTGCGGTCTGGCGCAATATAGCTGCCGTCGTGTCATCCAAGTGGATGCTGCACACTGGTGGTAGAGGAGGAGATTCCCCCCCTAAAATGTGTAAAGTGCTTTGAGTGTCTAGAAATGCGCTATATAAATGTAAGGAATTATCATTATTATCGACTGCGTTCAATATGAGACGTAAAGAATATGCCAACCATGGCTTTTATGTTAAAGTAGTCAGAGTACAGAGTATTTGTGTAAGCCCAATGCACAGAATCATTAAAGCAATGCAGTTAAACACCAGCATATGGCTTTATTCTTAACCATAACCTCAAGTAAAAACAATGAGATACCTTAGTCATTTAGTATAATTTTGATAGTGATAAACGTTGACCCCAATCTAACCCCAATCTGACCCCAAAATACTTTAGAATTTAATTGATTAAAAAAAAACCTATAGTAGCCACAAGGGATGTCACGGTTCTCAGTATAATATTGAACAGTACGGTACGACCTCCACGGTTCAATACGCGCTTATGAATTGTGGTTTTCTCGGTTTAGCGTTTAAATAAGTTATGTGCGTTTCATAGATGAGGAAACTCCTCCCCGCGAGCAAATATCCATACACTATGCTCTAAAGTTAGGGGGCGCTTGACTATCATTCCACACTTTAACATTGCGAGCGGCGGTGAAGTGAGGCAACAGTAGAAGGAATCGCTGGCGTCTTTCTAATCTGCGATGTGAGGACATTTCGGTTTTGCCGGTAAGTATAATGCCGATAAAAGAAAAAATGGTGAACAAAAAAATAACTGTGTGCAAGCATTGTTTTACACGTATAACCATGACTGCACATCTGCAGCGCCATCACCCAGCAACATCACTGTCTAAACGCAGGATAGCAGAGAAGGTAATAAAGTCCGTCAAACAGCAACAATCCCTCGCTGAATCTTTCCAGCAAGCATACCCAACTGGTTCAGAGAGACACACAAAAATAACAAACAAAGGCATAACAAAGGCAGTGTGGGTTTTTATTGCTAAAGATTTGCAGCCGTTTTCGGTGAATGGAGATGCGGGCTTTTGTCATCTTATAAAAGCACTCGTGTTACAGATTACAGTCTCGCATTTTTTCAGCACTAAGATAATTGAGATGGTTTATTTATGTTTACTTAAGTACAAATATGTTTATTTTAAAAGTGCCAATTTATCTTTATTAACTTCGCATGTGTGTTTATTTTTTTTAAAGTGTAGGATTTTATGTGTTCCGCAGTTTGTACATGGGCTACCAGCAGATGTGAGATTTCACTGTTAAGTTTTATTATACAATACACTAGGAACTACTGTACTTTTCTTGGCTTTTAAGTAAAACAAAATGAGTATTGCAATAAATTGTTTTTATTCTTTTCTCCTTAACCTCTTACTGTTCCTATTGCCTATAGAATTAAAAAAAACACATGTCAAGCCATGAGAACTGAACCGAAAACCGTGTTTAAAAAACCGAGGTGTGTATTGAGCCGTGGGCTAACTGTATTGTTGCATCCCTAGTAGCCATTCTGTGGCAGCATTGCATCACTATCAATGAAGGCCTGTCTGCTCTCGAAGTCAGACTGTAAAAGATATGGACGTAGTATCCGTGACGTCACCCATAGGTTTCTATAGAATGCAAAAGGTACAAGTAGGTTTGGCCAACCTTCGCCATTTTGTTCGCGCGACCACTCAGGGGTAAGTCTAAATCGGATATGCGGCCGCCGATATGCGAAATGCACATTATATAGCAGCATTTTTTTTGACACTGTATAACAATAATTAATATTTTTACAGTACTGTGATGGTTGGGTTTAGGGTTGGGGTGGGGTTAGGCGTTAAATAATACAATTTATTGTGTAATTTAATAATTACATAAATATTTATAGGCACAACTACTGTTTTTACCTTACTGTGTCGGTTGTGTTTAGGATTGGGGTAGGGGTAGACGTTATTAAAATACAATAAATAGGAAATTTAATAAATAATGTAAATAAATCTTGTTAACTTCCAGCCGTATCCATATTTAATCTAGCAACAACCCCCAACCAGGGGATTCCACACCAAGGCAAAGAGGGCGAGCGGAGTGAATGGAGCTGCTAGCATTTTGCTTAGATGGGCTTTTCTTTGGGAGAAACGCTTAATACTTTAATACCTGAGACTTGTTTGTGTTCTGACTACATGTGGTTAGTCGTGTACTATATCAATTAAGTGTTTAGACTTTTACAAACACTGCTGTAACCAGTGCTTTATTAGTGAATTGCGAGGTCCTGAAACCAATTAGGGTAACTGATCCGACACATTACCCGAGGATGGAGAGGTGTCCTGAAGTAGAAAGAGGGACGAAAGTGAGCGAAGCGGGGGGTGTCACGGTTGAAATTGAAAAGGGTTGGGGAGTCGCGGAAGAAAGCGAGAGTGAACAGCGGGTCGATTGAGGAGTGGGATAAAATGAGGTGACGGATCAGATTTCAGAGGTGCCGGATCCGGCATGTTCCAGCATAAATTAAGTCCTGGTTGTAACACATTAAGCCACTAAACATTGTTCTTATGATACTTTTCTACAGGAAGAAAAATCAAATTACTTCCAAATGCTTAAATATAGACTGTGATAGCAAATGAAAGGCTATTGATGAAATCCAGACATATCACTGTATGACAACGCTTTAGATGACTGTCCTAGAGCCTACGGCTAATCCATCTGTCAGATTTTGGAGTGCATTACAGGCCACATAAAACAAAACAAAAATACGATGTATATGCTGAGTTCAGCAGCTAATCAGCCGGAATAAGCTGAGGTGAAGTGACTGCGACCAGCAAGACTTAATATAACCTAATATAAAGAAAACGGATGAGTTATAAAAACATTCACCCCCTCACAGTTGTCATGAAGGGTAATATTAGCTAAATGAACCAAAATCATTATTTGTACCAGGCTGTAAACACATTTTTTTCTGCTGTAAAGTTGGCAACTTTCAACAATCTACAGTGTCAATAGAAATTTGCTCTATTATGGAGCCAGGACTAGCGGAGTTTTGCAGGTTCAGTTACTTCCGTATTTGCTTTATGAGGGAGAGCGGGATATGAATATGATAATATTAATAGGAATATTAAAAACAGAAGATTTTTGTTTTTGTATTGTGCTGATTTAATTTTTTGTTATTCAAAATAAAAAAATGAATATCAAACATGTTTTTTATTTAGCTCATCCTTTTTCACCAATTTTCATTTCTGAATTTAAAAACGAAAATCAAACATTGACTGCTTTTTCTATGTTCGTTTTTAAAGTATAAATCCAATGGCAAAAGTATACACTGACTTTATTTATACTGTGTGTGTGTGTGTGTGTGTGTGTGTGTGTGTGTGTGTGTGTGTGTGTGTGTGTGTGTGTGTGTGTGTGTGTGTGTGTGTGTGTGTGTGTGTGTGTGTGTGTGTGTGTGTGTGTGTGTGTGTGTGTGTGTGTGTGTGTGTGTGTGTGTGTGTGTGTGTGTGTGTGTGTGTGTTTGTTTGTTTGTTTGTTTGTTTGTTTGTTTTCAGGTAGCCGATGCAATCCTGGGTAATCAGATGTTCTCCCACTACGACCGGCCTCATATCGCTCAGCTGTGTGAGAAAGCTGGCTTACTACAGAGGGCACTCGAGCACTACAGCGACCCCTACGACATCAAGCGAGCCGTCGTACACACACATCTGCTCAACCCTGAGGTGTGTGAGAGATAAATGACACCTGCAGCAACATACCAATGCATGCTAGAGTTTCCATATACAACTGTTTCATATTTGTTATCCTAAAAACACACGTCTTGTATCCAACATTGGCTTTGTATATATTTATTAAAATTCCTTTATTTTTATTGTCTTGGCTTTATTTTTTGTCTGGTTTTTATACATGTATTCTTGTAGTTATTTTTTAGCTCTATTTTGGTACATTATATACTTTTTAATCTGTACACCCACCGGCCACTTTATTAGGTACACCTGTCCAACTGCTCTATTCAGTCAATCACATGGCAGCAGCTCAATGCATTTAGGCATGTAGACATGGTCAGGACGATCTGCTGCAGTTCTAAGCGAGCTTCAGAATGGGGAAGAAAGGCGATTTAAGTGACTTTGAACGTGGCATGGTTGTTGAAGCCAGACGGGCTGGTCTGAGTATTTCAGAAACTGCTGATTTACTGGGATTTTCACGCACAACCATCTTTAGGGTTTACAGAGAATGGTCTGAACAAGAGAAAATATCCAGTGAGAGCGGCAGTTCTGTTGGCGCAAATGCCTTGTTGATGAAAGAGGTCAGAGGAGAATGGCCAGACTGGTTGCAGCTGAAAGGAAACAGTAACTCAAATAAGCACTCGCTACAACCGAGCTCTGCAGAAGAGCATCTCTGAACACACAACACGTCCAACCTTGAGGCGGATGGGCTACAGCAGCAGAAGACCACACCGGGTGCCACTCCTGTCAGCTAAGAACAGGAAACTGAGGCTACAATTCACACAGGCTCACCTAAACTGGACAATAGAAGACTGGAGAAACGCTGTTGAGTGTGATGAATCTCCATTTCTGCTGACACATTCGGATGGTCGGGTCAGAATTTGACGTCATCAACATGAAAGCATGAATCCATCCTGCCTTGTATCAGTGGTTCAGGCTGGTGGTGGTGATGTAATAGTGTGGGGGCTATTTAGTACCAATTGAGCATCATGTCAACACCACAACCTACCTGAGTATTGGCCATGAAGGATTAAGGCACTTCTGAAGGCAAAAAGAGTCCAACCTTGTACTAGTAAGGTGTACCTAATAAAGTGGCCGGAGAGTTTATGTAAAGTGCTTTGAGATGCTACTTTTAATCCTTATGTATTGTTCAAATTGACTACCCTTTTGGTATGTTGGTGGGAGTTTTTGCCCCGTTTGACCTGCATTATGATGACATTTTTGAATGCAAAGCCATGACAGCATATAATCATGCATTCTTGATTGTTGCTGGGAAGAGGTACAATTTGTCATTTTTACTGTTGTCTTAATGTCTTAAGCTGTAAAGACAATAATAGAAGCTGATTAGATTAACAGCTTCACACATTGATTATTTCTACATACACTGTTAAATTACTGGCAGCAGTTCGCTGAGAATATTTCTGCTGTAAATATTTTGCTGCACAAATACAGTTTTCACTTTTACAGCACCATTTATTTCGCTGTATAAGTATTTACAGTATTGTATATCTTAATACAGTAATTTCCACAATGCAACTTTAAAATACGGTGACATACATTTCATATTACGGTTAAATACTGTACAATTCACAAAAGTCATTATCAGTGTATTGTGCTGCTGGATTTTGCCGCATGTCTGTTTAGAGAAGTCCTGAGCTCAGTTTTCGTGTTCTCTTTCTCAGTGGCTGGTGAATTTCTTCGGCTCTCTGTCTGTGGGCGACTCCATTGATTGTTTAAAGGCCATGTTGTCCGCAAATCTCCGGCAGAACCTGCAGCTGAGCGTTCAGATCGCCACCAAATACCATGAGCAGCTGGGCACACAGACACTGGTGGAGCTCTTCGAGTCCTTTAAGAGCTACGAGGGTGAGATGATCATCATTTTTTTTCAACTTTATTATAGTTTTGCTTTTCTTTTTTTGTATTTTTTTGGGGGGTGTTACATCCTTGTAGATGTTAATATTAAACTAGGAGTAGATGACATAACATACATTAGTTTAATGTGTGTGACAAGCGGATGGAGAAAGAAATAAACTGAAAACTAAATATCACTGCAATTATTTATTGCCCATACATCCAATGAAACCAGTGAAAATTATACATATTATACAGTGAAAGAAAAATATTTACAATGATTAAATTATGAATTTCCTGGGGGGAGAGGAAGTAGTTGAATGTGCTTAAATCAAAGAAATAAATATAACAAAACTCAGTAACTGTTTTCACCAAACTAAACTAAATATGAAAAGAAAAGCATGAAAAGAAACATCTTTAGCGTACCAAACATCTTAACTAAACTGCTCTAACTAAAAACAAAACATACAGAAAACAGCACATCCTCCTGAACCTAATGAACTGATACAAAATATGCATCTCAGTGTTGTATATGTATATCGCGCGACTTACTCCTACACCTCTCTGAGGCATCACTCAAACATGTCAGTTACTGGACAAGTTCACAAGCAAACACATTGCATTATCAAATCTCAAACTTTTGACAAGAGCATTAAACAAGCAAAACACATTCTCTCAGACTAGCCCTCGCAAGAGAGACTGTCCTCACAGAGACCCACAGAAAGAATAAGAGCGAGAAGTGGCGAGAAGGAAAGAGACAGAAAGAGAGATCGCCATTGCAGTTTGGGTTTGACATTTAAACGCTACACCAACAAGCGATTGGTGGCGCGAACCCAGCGTCAGCGGCCAACGTCATCAGCACGAAATGCAGATCATCCAATGCTGTTCGTACTCTGTTAATGAAGTCTCTCAAAGCTGTAAAAAAATGTAAAAGCTCTGTCTATTGTAAGCTATTATGAATCTGTTTTTGGCATCTTGTGAATGTCTTCCTTTTTTTTTTTTATTCATTTAAATTAATTATCTTTGAAATTTTTTGTTGCCTGTTTTTGCTGTATTTGTAAATTACTAATGCATAATACTAAAAAAAAATAATAATAAAAATATATATATATTTTTTTTAAATGCCGTTCGTACCTGTAACAACACATGAATGAAATGACACACCCACATACAAACAAACGCACACACTTATCCAAAATACGTTCTGCAAGCGAACGTTACAGCGGGTTTCATCTTTTTTTTATTGATAGCACAGTCAAGAAGGACTGGCATAGGACCTCGAGACAGGAATCAAACTCAGGTCGCCGTAAACATTGGCACCATTGGCACAGACAGTTTTGCATTTTTTTAATGGGATAGTTCACCTAAAAGCGAAAATTCTGTCAATATATGCTTTTTCTTTTCTTGTTTGAGATTTTTTCTGTTTAACACAAAAGTCGGCATTCTGAAGAACACTGGAAATTGTACCGTTGACTTTGCTGTATTTGTTTTTTTCTACTATGGAATTCAATGGTTTCGGATTTTCAGCTTTATTCAAAGTATCATATTTAGTGTTTAACTGAAGCAACCTGCTCAAACGCAGTAAAATAGCTGTCCAGTTCAGCTTCATAAAAAGGAGGCACTAAATTAATGTGTCGGCTCGCATCAAATTGGAGCGTTAGTCACATCCGGTGTGGAAACTGGAGTGGAAGAGGCTGGCAAAGGAGTGACTGAAGGAAAAGCAGGAGAACTCTCCAGTGGATCACAGCCGGGGGAGACCGGTCGTGATCCACGCGAAGCCGCTCCCTCTATAACTCCAGCTCTCCTAACCTCAGCCTCTTCGCCACACTTTCTTCCTGTTCAACTCTTTTGATTTTAACTCAGATAACGGGTCTGAATTTGGTAAACTACCTGGTGGTGCAAATATTGGTGACTTGAAAAGCGGAGACAAAGGTGGCGGAGTCGAGAGCCCCTCGTCGGCCTTCCCATCTTTACACCACCTGCCTCCGACGGATCAGGCAGTATACGCAGCAAAACCAATTCTTCATAAAGCACATCTTATAATTCTAATTTTGAAAGCTTATTTCACCGCAATTTTAAAGAATTCTGTCATCTTAAATAAGTCATCCTTACAGCAGCGATCGAACTGTCCTGTTGACAGGTCCGCGGAGATAAAAAGGTTGGGGACCACTGACATAGCGTATATGTGTGTATGAGTATGTATAGGTGTTTCTCACTGATGGGTTGCAGCTAGAAGGGCATCCGCTGTGTAAAACATATGCTGGATAAGTTGGTGGTTCATTCCACTGTTGCGACCCCAGATTAATAAAAGGACTAAGCTGAAAAGAAAATGAATGAAGGAACTATGCCATTAAATGAGTTTATATTTTGAGACTATTTTAAAATTTGAGCACATTTCTTCAGTGACTTATTTTTCTAGTTCCAGTTAGTTTAATTTTTTTACTCATTGTGAATTTTGTGTTTTATTTCAGCTAACAGAAATGTTTTTTGACCGATAGTTTTAGTTGGTTTGTTGAGTTTCACAGGGTGGTTTTGTTGGTCATTCCTCGTCTCTCTGTCTCTTTCAGGTCTGTTTTATTTTCTGGGCTCGATCGTGAACTTCAGTCAAGACCCGGATGTGCATTTCAAGTACATTCAGGCTGCGTGTAAAACGGGTCAGATTAAAGAAGTGGAGCGCATCTGTCGAGAGAGCAGCTGCTATAATGCCGAACACGTCAAAAACTTCCTCAAGGTACAAGAGAAAGCTTGACATTCAGAAAAATCAATCAGTTAATCCAAAAATTAAAGCAGTTTTAATATATGTTGCTGGAACATTTTTAAAACCAATTAAATAAATATATTTGTGCATTTGTATTTAATTTTAAAATATTTATGAATTAATTTGAAGTTATTGAATTAGAAACATTCAAAGAAACACTCAACAATATCTTTTGTTTACAAATTTTATTAAACACAAATTTTATGTATAAACATTTTAATGATTTTTTTATTAAAGTACATTAAATAAGCATGTTTTTTTACATTGCCTTTTATTATAATTATCCTCATTTGACTCTATTATTGCATATATAGCTTGCTTGTGACGTGGTCGATAAGAACACAAGTACACTGAGATGTATCAGGTACTGATTTGTATTTGCTGTCAGGTTTTTTGAGTGTTTTTTTGTGTTGTGTATTTGCACAGGAGGCCAAACTCACGGATCAGCTTCCTCTCATCATCGTGTGCGACCGCTTCGATTTCGTCCACGATCTGGTGTTGTATTTATACCGCAACAGCCTGCAGAAATACATCGAGATCTACGTGCAGAAGGTGAAGTCAAGAAGTGCACTTGTGTGTGCGTGTGTATGGGTATAACTATGGGTGTGTCTGTATGCAACTGTTTGTGCTTGTCTGTATGTTTGTGTGACTGTTTATGTCTGTGTGTGTATTTATATCAATGTGTGTGTGTGTCTGCATGTGTTTGTATGTATGATTGTGTGACTGTTTATATCTGTGTGTGTGTACTTATGGAAGTCTATATGTGATTGTGGGCGGGTGGGGTGGATTAGGTAGGTGTGTTTGTGTATGGGCTTTTTGTGTGTCTGTGTGTAACCCTGCATGTCCTACACCACCCAACCTGCTCCAAGCTGGTTTTGAACCGGCGACCTTCCGCATGGGAGTCGGTTGCTCTAACAAGGAGGATAAAGACCATGGCATCTAGCGTCTGTCACTGGAGCACCTTTAGAGGTCAGAGGAGTGAGGTTTACCTGCACAGCACTTACTAGCTGGCCTACATTACACTCACCCCCTCAAACCTCACTCCCATCTGGGTCACGGCACCAATGTAACCCCGCCGGTCCAAGCCACCTAACCCGCTTCGAGCTGGGATCGAACCGGCAACCTTCTGCATGGGAGTCGGTTGCTCTAACAAGGAGGATAAAGACCATGGCCTCTAGCATTTGTCGCTAGAGCACCTTTAGAAGTAAGAGGAGTGAGGTTTACCTGCACAGCACTTACTAGCTGGCCTGCGTTACATGTGTACGAGTATTTATGCGGTTATATTTAATGACAAAATCACTCATAGCCCTGGCAAATTCTGGCATAAAGTTACTTTAATTCAACCAGCAAGATTTTTTTTAGCAGAAATGACACAGGCTTCTCCCAAAGGATAATAAGATGATGCACAAGAGGCATATTTCTCAGCTTTTGTTTACCTTTGAACAAAAAGTGTCTGAATTTGCCAGAGATATGAATGTGACTGTGTGTGACTATATTGTGTGTATATTTGTGTGTGTGTGTATGCAGGTGAACCCCAGTCGTCTGCCAGTGGTGATTGGAGGCCTGCTGGATGTGGATTGCTCTGAGGAAACCATCAGGAACCTGATTCTGGCCGTTCGAGGAGATTTCAGCACCGACCAGCTGGTGGAGGAAGTGGAGAAGAGAAACCGGTACAACTGAAGCCGCCCTGCGTGTCTTAAACACATTACAACACACCTTTTCACAACAACTATTCATCATACGGCTGTGGAAATAGTCAGAGGCACAGAATATTAATGATGCATTATATTATATTATATTATATTATATTATATTATATTATATTATATTATATTATATTATATTATATTATATTATATTATATTATTTTATATTATATTATTTTATATTATTTTATATTATATTATATTATTTTATATTATATTATATTATATTATTTTATATTATATTATTTTATATTATATTATATTATATTATATTATATTATATTATATTATATTATATTATATTATATTATATTATATTATTTTATATTATATTATATTATATTATATTATTTTATATTATATTATATTATATTATATTATATTATATTATATTATATTATTTTATATTATATTATTTTATATTATATTATATTATACTATATTATATTATATCATATTATATTAAATTATTGTATATTATATTATATTATTTTAAATTATTTTATATTATATTACATTATATTATATTATATTATATTATATTATATTAGATTAGATTAGATTAGATTATGTTAAATTATTTTATATTATATTACATTATATTTTAATATATTATTTAAAATTGTATTATATTATATTATATTATATTATATTATATTATATTATATTATATTATATTATATTATATTATATTATATTATATTATATTATATTAGTACACTAAAAATTGCGTTGTATTTTTCAGAAATATGGAGTGCTGAAAGGAAAGTATCTGGTGCATATGGAGAGGAGAGAGTGTGTGCATCTATCATATCATATCACATGTCATATGTCATTATATCATATAAATCATATCATGGCGAGGCAGTGGCGCAGTAGCTAGTGCTGTCGCCTCACAGCAAGAAGGTCGCTGGGTTGCTGGACTGAGCCTCGGCTCAGTTGGGGTTTCTGTGTGGAGTTTGCATGTTCTCCCTGCGTTCGTGTGGGTTTCCTCCAGGTGCTCAGAATTCCCCCACAGTCCAAAGACATGCGGTACAGGTGAATTGGGTAGACTAAATTGTCCGTATTGTATGAGTGTGCGTATTAATGTGTGTGTCGATGTTTCCCAAAGGTAAGTTCTCCTGGAAGGGCATCCGCTGCGTAAAAACTTGCTGGATAAGTTGGCGGTTTCTTCCGCTGTGGCGACCCCGGATTAATTAATAAAGGGACTAAGCCGATACGAAAATGAATGAATGACTAAATATCATATCATTTCATGCCACATATCATGTCACATCACATATATCATAAATAATGTCATATATCATATCATTTCACATATCATATATCATATCATATGTCATATCATGTCGTATAACATATCATATCTCATATCATATACCATATTATATACCATATCATATCATGCCTCATAGCACATATTATATAACATATTATATATCTTATCATATTATGTCATATATCATATCTGATATCATATACCATATTATATATCATATCATATAATGTGATATACCATATCATGTCATGTGATATATCACATCACATATATCACACATCATATATCATTTATCATGTCATATCATATGTCTTATAATGTCATATTTTATCATATCATATGCCTTGTCATCATCATATATCCAAAATTACACAGTATTTTCTAGAAACATGAAGTGTTGAAAGGAAAGTGTCTGGTGTATATGGAAATAGAGAGTGTGTGCATTTAATATTTTACATTTCATACAATATAATATAACATTGAGTATATATCGTTAATAAGTATTGGTAATACACATGTTGAGCATATGTATTGTCTCTCTGCAGACTGAAGCTGCTGTTGTCCTGGCTGGAGACTCGTGTTCAGGAGGGCTGTGAGGAGCCGGCAACCCACAATGCTCTGGCGAAAATCTACATAGACAGTAACAACAACCCAGAGCGGTTCCTTCGGGAAAACCAGTATTATGACAACGTGACTGTGGGCCGATACTGCGAGAAGAGAGACCCGCACCTCGCGTTTGTGGCCTACGAGAGAGGACAGTGTGACCTGGAGCTCATACAGGTAACTAACTCAAAAATGTTGCAATTCTGAAATATTACTGACATTTAAAACTAGCTGTTTTTTATGTGAACACATGGTACAATGTCATGTATTCCTATGATTCAAAGCAGAATGTTTTAGTGTCTTTAGTGTCATATGATACTTCAAATACTCTTTTAATTTGAGCCTATTCTAGATTTAGTAGACCCTACTGACCTACTAGCCCCTAGGGGCCCTAAACCTGTTTCTCAACTGGTAGGTCGGGAACCAAAATTGGGTCGTGGGAACATTTTCAGTGTGTGGTAAAAAAAAACAACAACAAAAGTAGAATTTTTTACTAATTTTGCTTATACCGGACTTTTATTTTGAAATGCATGCGCAACAACCCTACCGTTTGACATGTGAAATTTCATTTAATTATTGCAACATATATGTCGAAGCGCAAGTACGACCCCGAATATGTAAAGAGTGGATATATATATACTGACGACAAAAAAAGACTTAAAGGGCTCTATTTTGACGGTCCATGCGCAGAGCGCAAAACGCAGGGCGCAAATGCTTTCAGGGTGTGTCAGGACGCGTTTTTGCTAACTTAAGGACGGGAAATCTGCCTTGCGCCATGGCGCATGGTCTAAAAGGATTGAGTTTATTTTCTTAATGAGTTATAGGTGTGTTTTGAGAATAAACCAATTAGAGTCTCATCTCCCATTCCCTTTAAGAGCCAGCTGCGTCGCGCCAAGAGCGCATTCGCTATTTACAGGACGCAAAGTAAGTCTAAGTGGAAAAATGAGCATTTCACAAGCAAACAGTTAACAGTTAAGAGTTTTTTAACAGAAAACAGTTAAACAGAGCATCTACTGCGTGAGAATGAGAGATAATGGAACTACTTTCACATTCGCTCTTGGATAGGGAAACCTTTACGCACAGACATCAATTAGCCTATAAATAATTAATTTAGTTTGTTAAGCGCAAATATTCGTTTCAAAACTATTTCTAAATTCATTTCTAATTTCCAGCAAACGAATAAATGAACAATAATAATGAAGTGTGCTCAAAAACCTTTATATCCTAAAACACATGCTGTGCCCCATATGGTCTAAAACCTGACAGGTGGACAAATCTAAGCTTGTTTTTAATGAAACAAATATAAATATGGATATAATAAATAATATTGCTAATAATAATTACATTATACAAAAGCAAATTGTTATGAATGAACTGAAAAAGCCTCCCGAGATGAAGAAGACATAAAAGCAGTGGTTTTTCATATTTATGTAGGCTAGAAAATAATATGTTTTGTAATATTTTAATCCTTTATATTTATATCCTATATCTATTCTTATTATATCCTATATATATATCCTTAATATTAAAATGTTTTCATATGTAAAGATATTTGCCTATTGCTCTCTTGTGTGTATTAAGCAGTGTGTAAGCGAGGCGCAACTCTGCGCTGGAGTTCAGACCGGGTTAGTTTTGGTCTAATGAAAAATCTAGTTTAGTTTCTCAAAATAGCAACGCGCCAGCGGTCCGCCTCAGAACGCCTTCCTTTTTAGACCAGAACGCCTATGGGTGCACAAATGAGCGCTAATGCATTTGCTATTTAAACAGCGTAGCGCAACACCTCAAAACCACTCTTGTGCCAAGCTGTAACTACCAAAAGACTACTGCGCCACGCCTTGCGCCACACTGCGCCGAGTGTATTATAGGGCCCAAAGCTTCAGTGTCATTTGTAGTGAGGTGCCCTCAGAAGAGAGCATGAAACCTTCTATATTAAAACAACCTTTAGAAACCAGAAAACATGTTTTATTAAGAGTTTATTAATAACAGTATTTATTGTTTTTACTTTGTAATAGTTCTATAATTTGATCTGTTTTGTTAAATGACAGCAATAAAATAGTGTTTATTTGTAAGTCTTGCTAAATTTCTTATGATGTATCTGTCATTACTTGTTTATGTTAACAAATAAATACAAATTAAGTATAATTCCTAAAATTGTATTATAGTTCCTAAAAATTTGGGTCGCGGCATTATGACCATGTAAAAATGTGGGTCCCGTGGCCAAACCAGTTGAGAACCCCTGCCCTAAACAAAACTTTGTAACAGGAAGTTAGTAGCTATGTTTCCATCAAAGCATGTCAATTCAACTGTAATATTACATAAAACATTTGAGTATAAAAACATTGTTTCCATCCGAGTCAAAGAGAACAAAATATTCACTTAACCTAATTAACCTAGCCAAGCCTTTAAATTGCACTTTAAGCTGAATATGAGTTTCTTGCATAAAGCTAGTAAAGTTACTCATCCAGAACGCTGCGGCCAGGATTCTGACCAGAACCAGAAAATCAAAGCACATCACACCTGACCTCAGGTCTCTACACTGGCTCCCAGTTACATTCAGAATACATTTTAAAGTATTATTGCTGGTCTATAAATCACTAAATGGCCTAGGACCTCAATACATCACAGATATACTCACTGAATACAAACCTAACAGATCACTCAGATCTTTAGGATCATGTAAACCATAGCGGGCGATGCAGTGGCGCAGTAGATAGTGCTGTCGCCTCACAGCAAGAAGGTCGCTGGGTTGCTGGTTCGAACCTCGGCTCAGTTGGCGTTTCTGTGTGGAGTTTGCATGTTCTCCCTGCCCTCGCGTGGGTTTCCTCCGGGTGCTCCGGTTTCCCCCACAGTCCAAAGACATGCGGTACAGGTGAATTGGGTAGGCTAAATTGTCCGTAGTGTATGAGTGTGTGTGTGTGTGTAAATGAGTGTGTGGATGTTTCCCAGAGATCGGTTGCGGCTGGAAGGGCATCCGCTGCATAAAAAACTTGCTGGATAAGTTGGCGGTTCATTCCGCTGTGGCGATTAATAAAGGGATGATTAATAAAATGAATAAATGAATAAACCATAGCACATTTGTTATTTACATGACAGACTTTGTAAGTGGAAAAACTGAACACCTCACTAGAGAGAAAACAGTTAAACAGAGCATCTGCAGCGCGAGAATGAGAGATGAGCCTCCTCATTCTTTACTTTCACTTTCACTCTCTTGGATAGGGAAACGTGTTGTACGCACAGATATGCATTAGCCTATACATAATTAATTTAGTTTGTTAAGCACAAAAATTGGTTTCTAAACTATTTCTAAATTCAGTTCTGATTTCCAGCAAACGAATAAATAAACAATAATGACCAAGTGTGCTCAAAAAAACTGAGTTATATCCTAATACACATGCTGCGCCCCATATTGTCCAAAACCTGACAGGTGGGCAAATCTAAGCTTGTTTTTAATAAAAACTAATATAAATATGCATATAATAAATAATACTGCTAATAATATTCTATGATCCTTCACAGATGAAGGAGAGGAGACACTTCAACAATCACACACGTTATTATCATTAGCTCAAGAAGTTTGTTTTATCAAATATAGACACGATCAAGAGCTCAAAACAAAAAAAAACTGATCGCACTTTTAGACCGCCTTGTAAAACAACAACAGGAAACGGCAGATTTTGTTCTTCTTGGCTTTGTGTGTCTGTACAGTACATCAAGACAACGACAAGGTTTGTTTGAGCTTAGGTCATCTATGGCTCATTATTATGTGCATATAGAAATATGGTGTAATGTCTCGCCTTTGTATTTTAACGTGGCGGTTCCTTTGTTTTCATTCTGGCTAGCTCCACATGAGCTTGTGATGTATCTCTGTAACCAATCAGCGTTCAGCTGCGTGTGTAGCTCCACCTTTTGGTACGCTTTCTCATGTTTGGTGCCCTTTTGAAAGGGTGCCAAAAAAGTGGTACATTACAGTTCGCATAAAAGCGTACCGAACCGTATCGTACCATAGCGTACCACAATACTCAGTGGAAACGGGGCATTAGGCTCTGACACGCACGTGGGAATGGTGGGCGGGAAGATTCAGCTCATTTGCATTAAGGCACAGGCTTCTAAACAGCTTCAAAGTGAAAACAGCTCAAATGTCCAATACACACAAACAAATAATCTGATTGGTGTTTTGAGCTGAAACTTTACAGACACATTCTGGATTTGAAATCTTGAAAAAGGAGTAAAATAGGTGCCTTTTAAAACCTGTTTAACGCATTTAAATTTTTAAATAAATTTTTATTTACTTTTTACTATTTGTAATTGGTTTCTTTTGTTCTTGTTCCTGTAAAGCTATTTGAATTACCATTGTGTATGAAATGTGCTTTTAAAATAAACTTGCCTTGCCTGTCATCGTGGCGAAGAAATAACATATTAGTTATTATTCTTTTATTTTCTTTTTCTTTTTTATTATTATTTTTCTTTTACTTTATTTTATTTATTTAGTATTTTTTGATGTTATGTCATGTTTTTGGATGTTGTGTAAATTATGTTTTGTCTTGTGTTGTTATTATGTGGTTGTGATTAATTGTGGGACCCCCTTGGGGTTCATCTCAATGAATAAATATTAATATCAATAAGTTAAATATTAAAACTATTATGTTTTAAATAGTGTTGTTTGTCTGTTGGTTTCATGACCATTTAATGCCTAATGACCTGCAGTGTTCATACTAGCTTCAGTTTTTATATGAATTGTCTTTGTGTAGGTGTGCAACGAGAACTCATTGTTTAAAAGTGAGTCGCGGTATCTGGTGCGGCGGAAGGATCCGGATCTGTGGGCTCGTGTTCTGGAGGAGACGAACCCCTACAGACGACCATTGATCGACCAGGCAAGAGTCTCTCTCAGACATCACGCAGCAGCTGATTATTGATTGTTATAGGTGCAGAATGTAGACACCTAATTGTTGAACCTAGGTATTGTTACCCAGGTGTACATTTTTAGGATCTGTGAAGTACAGGCCTGGGGCTACGTCTGCTTGCGGATTTGCTTTCACAAATCCACTAGAGGGCGCAGTGTATATTTTTGACAATTTCAAATTCATTACTGGGGCATGCTTTCTCATACCTGCCAATTCTCAAAAACCCACCAGAGGACAGCTTGTACATTTCTGCCAATCTCAAATACGTCGCTGAGCCACATTTGCTTACCATACTTACCATTCTTTACACACAAGATGCACCCAGACGAATCTCAGTGCAGATATTTTCGGTTTGCCAAATATGTAGCCCTAGGCACACATCCTCAATAGCCACATTTCCACTGTCGGGCCAGTGCGAGCCAGGGCTTGTATCGGGCCGGGCCAATTGCCCGGGAGGTTGAGCAGTGGGGCCAAAATCATGTCACGTTTTCACTGTCAGGCTAGTAGCTCGCAGAGCGTCACGCAAACCCCGCCCCCAGAACATCCCCCTAATCAAACGCCACACAACTTGCCCACTTCAGCGGGAATCAAGCAGGTAAAGCACAACATCGCATCAACACCAAACCATTAAAATGAACACAACCGACACAAACATGACACGCTACTCTACAGCAGTACATATCTATTTGCAGAGTCCTGTGTGTTTCCATTCATTACATTTGTTCACTCACCGACCGACTGTTGGCATCGTGCATCGAGTGGTCTCGCCAGTAACGGAGGCAGAGCAACAGCGCAGTGAACACACCATCCATAATATAAAACCACAGAAATTCTCCAGTAAAAACTCGGTATGAAATGTATTTTATAGCATCCTCTTTTTAATAGAAGTCATCAAACATTCAGCCCAAATGCTCAGGAGAGACCTAAAACATGTTTATTTTTCTCTTGGCTATATGACATTCAGTAGGTAATTCCTCTTTATTTGAAGATGTTGCATATTATTCTGTGATCTTAAGTAAAGTGTTAAGTGTTTCAGCACATAAGAGCAAGTAATAAATTATAGCCTATATTTCGTTGAGTTCAGCAGCTATTCACTAATAAAGCTCTACATTTAAAATTTCATAGTTAAATTTTACGACCTACAAAAGCATAAACACTTGTTTGAGGACACAGAACACATTTTGTATTTGCAGTTTTCCCCAATGCGTTTGTAAAGCGGCGCTGCGCTGCGCTGGACTGAGTGACAGAAAAGACGGTCGTTTCTGCTTTCACTCACCCAAAAATCCTCTGTTTGCACGATTTGATTAACATCATCATATTTAAATACTTTATAAATAACATTTTAATTATTTTAAAGTTTATTGTTTTTAAAAAATTTCTAAAATCTATTTTCAGAGAGGCCTTAGTAAATTGAAAGTTTAATATGGCTTTAAAATGGTTTAATTTATGTATTGTTTATACCTACATCGTTTGTTTTACATTGGTTTATTTATTTAATGTGATTTTATTATATCCGATATTTGTAATTCTTTAAATTATTTCAATATAGCTGCTATTTTATCTAGATATAACACTATTGATTTGAGCCTACAAATGTGGACACGTAGTTTGTAGAGCTTTATGTCTTTCTGTTGTGTTCATATTGTGTATTATCTCCAATATAAATCAAAAAGACAGAAGCCGCGCGGCATCAACAGATCTGTAATGCATCTCACACACATACAGGCATCTAACGTGCACGTATGGCACAAACACACCTTTTAAACTTGACAAAAGTTCTTGACAACCTTTACTGGCTGCTGTGTCTTTAATATGGTGTAAACATTATTATGCGCTATTAAAACATCAAGGAGGACACAGCAAAGAAAAATAAATTTTTAAAGATTTAAAGGGCCATGAAACCCCCTCGTTTCAGCAGGGTGTTTTCACACCTCTACTTTGGAAAAAGTCAGAAAAGTGGGCGTGTCCAGCTCTGTTTAGGGGGGAGTGTCAGAGGAACTAAAGTGGGATGGTGTTTGAGTGTCTATTTGTGCACGCGCGAGTTTCAGAGTCAAAATACACACACACAGCGGACAATGTGACTGTTTACATGGACATCTGTAGTCGAATTATTTGCCAAATTATTAAAAGTTGGACTTTAACTGCAGTTTGGCTCTTTCATTCAGGGAATTCATTCATGCCTCTCGCGACAAACGAGATATTTGATTCGAGGAACTGCTGCAAGCGTGTATTTTTCATGCAATGTTTGATACCGCACGGCGAATGAGAGAAAAAAACTCCGCATTTCCCGGAAACTTAGATGCACACGGCAGGTAGCGTCAGAAAGCCGCGTGTGTTATTCCGGTCACAAAATGCGGTGCTAACATTTCTGCACTCAGTGCAATAGTAACTTAATTCGATACGAACAAACTGAATAAACAAAGAGCACTGGTCGCTCACTTACCAAATCTGTAGAGACAGGACAATCACCAGCAACTAGAGCCGCGTCTTTATGGAGAGGAGACTACAAGCGAATTCAGATTTCAGCGTTTGCAGATGAGAACAGCTCTCAGGTAAACAATAATCCTCCTTAGACACGTAAGTTATTGTTGTCGAGCGTCGCGTACACTGTTAATCCACACGTGACTCCAGCTGAGCTCTCACAGAAAGAAAATGAAAACAAAACTTAATGGCAGCAAACTATAAAAGCAACACTTCACGCTTGTTTTGCCAACACAACGTGGCGTCTTTGTGGCGTAAACACGGTGACACTAATGAATATTAATGAAGTTCCACAATAGAGCGCGCTGATTGGTTTGAACCAAGCCTTACTCATGCATTAATGCATCACTCTATAAGACGTAATAAGACACACTCTGGCACAGACGCCCAGTCTGCACGCTGGAATACACGCTATTATGTCATGACCGTGACGCAGCTTCAAAAATTAGTTTCAAACAGGAAGTACGAATTTGCTTGAAATAACGCAAAAACAACCAATTTACACTTTTTAGTGAAATATAGGTGTCCTAATAGTGTTTTTAGCAGTGTGGGACACATATACCACTGTCAACAGCTCAAAAAATGTGTTTTGGTGTTTCGTGACCCTTTAATAAATTTATTTTTTATTTTTAAAAAATGTTCTTTTTTAATTTATTTATTTAAATTCACAGCAAAGAAACTTTATTTTATGCAACAGCCTTGTCTTCTTTCCCTTATTTATTTATTGGTTTGCCGCATGTACTTGTGTGCGATCGGAAAACTAGTGTAATGACGGCTTGCCATCTTTATCAGACTCGGGCAAAGTCCGCCTCTCCTTTCACTCCGCCCCGAAGCCCCAGCTGGCCCTCTTTGACCCAAGGTTTTCGGCGGGCCAAAAAAGTCCGGCCGCTGTGCCTTGAGAAAGCCCCGCTTTGGCCTGATCAGGCCCTGGAAGTGACAGTGAAAATGTGACTGGCCTTAGCTCCCCCTGGCTCGCTTGCTTTAGGCACGATAGTGTAAATGCGCCTGTTGAGCATGTGTTGTTGTTTTTTAACCCAGCCCTCCCAATTGATTGACAACACAAACAGGAGTGAGTGACTATCAAGCCTAAACTGCTCAGCTAATGTTTTATGCTGTCTTATTTATATTATTCGGTTATTAAAAACCTCCCCATGTGGATTCTTACAACTCTGAATCAGCGTCTCATTTCGGAAGCTGCATTTTTGGCAGTGCCTGCATAAATTAATGCATCCTTTTAGACTGAAATGAAATCCGCAGTGTTTTCCACCAAGGCAACCCATAGTGCTGAAATATAATTGGTTAAACTGGCAGTGGGCGGAGTTACACAGATCAAAACAAGGACAGATATTCCGACACAGAACTCAAAGAGGAGTATCAGACTTCAGCGTTGTTTTCCAGATAAACAAATATGTTCACTTGGCGTGTTTCCCAAATATTTGCAAACATATTATGGTATTTTTATGATTTTGAAGAGTCAAACATATACATACAGCAATTTTAATGCTGAATATTGTGTGTGTAGGTGGTTCAGACAGCTCTGCCGGAGACGCAGGATCCCGAGGAGGTGTCGGTGACGGTGAAGGCCTTCATGACGGCTGATCTGCCTAATGAACTCATAGAGCTGCTGGAGAAAATCGTCCTGGAGAATTCAATATTCAGTGAACACAGGTAATTAGTTAGTGCCTTAGTTAAGTCTTTATTAATCCCAAAGGAAAATGCATGTCTCAGCAGAGCTCACCACAAAATAAAGGAGTAAATAAATACTCTAAAAATATGGTGACACAGTGTTTCAGTGGTTAGCACTGTCGCCTCACAGCTAGAAGGTTGCTGGTTCGAGTCCCAGCTGGGTCAGTTGGCGTTTCAGTGTGTAGTTTGCATGTTCTCCCCATGTTGGTGTGGGTTTCCTCCGGGTGCTCCGGTTTCCCCCACAGTCCTAGCAAATGCGCTATAGAGGAATTGAATGAACTTAATTGGCCTTCTCTATGCCTCAGAAACCTGCAGAACCTGCTGATCCTAACAGCCATTAAAGCGGACCGAACGCGGGTGATGGAGTTTATCAATCAGCTGGATAATTATGATGCTCCGGACATCGCCAACATCGCCATCAGCAATGAACTCTATGAGGAAGCTTTCTCCATCTTCAAGAAGTTTGACGTCAACACATCTGCCATACAGGTACTCCAGTACAGACACACACACACACACACACACACAAGGACTTGTATACATGGTTTACAGGGACACTCCTTAAACCCAGACCCTTAAACCCAACCCTCGCAGCAAACCTGTGGCAACATTTAAATGTCAAAGCATGATTTTTAAGCTACTTAAATTACAGGGACACCAATTAACCACCTTAATAGAGTACAACTAGGTCATACCCATGCCATTATACAACTTTGCGTCCTTGTAGACCAATTAAACTTGCAAACCCTCCTTAGGTCATATTCTTGTCATTATACAATGTAAACCACATAAACCTGTGTGTCCCTGTAAACCACATAAACCTGTACATACACAGATGCAAAAACTCTCTCACAAACGTGCACACACACACAAACAAACTTGTATACATGGTTTACAGGGACACTCCACATGCGTAGAGTATCTTATACTGTAAAAAACACTTATTATATAGACATTCGCCTAAACCCAACCCTCACAGTAAACCTGTGGCTACATTTAAATATCAAAGACTTTAAGTATGATTTTTAAGCTAATTAAATTGCCGGGACACCAATTAACCACATTAATAGAGTACAACTGTGTCATACCCATGTCATCATACAAGTTTGTGTCCCCATAAACCACATAAACTTGTAAACCTGCCTTAGGCATAATGTGTTTTATACTGTAAAAAAACGATTATTGTATGGCTCTACCCCAAAAACCAACCCTCATAGGAAACGTGGACAATTTTGAATATCCAAAGACCTTGTTAATATCATTTTTAAGCAATTTGAATTATAGGGACGGCTATTAACCACCTTAATACAGTACAATTATGTCATACCCTTGTCATTATACAACGTTGTGTTCCTGTAAACCACATAAACCTGCACAAACACACACACACAAACTTGCATGCATGATTTACAGGGACACTCCATAGGCGTAATGTATTTTATACTGTAAAAGCCACTTATTATATGGCCCTAATCCTAAACCCAACCCTCATAGAAAGTATGTGGATGATGAATATCAAAAGACTTTGTTAATGTAACGCCGGGGAGTGACACTGACAACAGAAGGTAGGATCCAATGTGCAGGTTTATTCACAGTCAGGCAAGCAGTGGTCAATATGGGAGCAAACAGGTGTGTGAGGACAATCCAGAATCATAGTCAATTTAACAAGCAAGAGGTCGAAAGGCAGGCGGCAGACAAGGAAAACTAAATAAACAAGGCTAGGTTCAAAACACAGAGAAACAAGACCAGGATAACTCGTTGTAATGTCACCTTACAGATAAACAAGACTCGGCAAACTGAAGGAGTGAATGTGTGGCTTAAATAGTGTGTGTTAATCAGTCTCTGAAAGTCCTCAGGTGTGAATGTAAATCAAGCTAAATGAGAAAGCAGGTGTGTGGGCGAAGAGCATGTATGAAGTTGTAGTCCAGGAAAAGTGTAGTTCTAAGTGTGTGTGTGTGTGTGTGTGTGTGTGTGTGTTTACCAGCGACATCTGGTGGTTGTTCGCTGGTGAACATGACAGTTAAAATGATTTTTAAGCAGTTTGAATTACAGGGACACCAATTAACCACTTTAATAGGGTACAACTAGGTCATATTCCTACCATTATACAATGCAAACCACACAAACCTGTGTGTCTCTGTAAACCACATAAACCTGTACACACACAGATGCAAAAACTTTCTCACACACTCGCACACACATATACACACACACAAACTTGTATAGATGATTACAGGGACACTCTATGGGCATAGTGTATTTTATACTGTAAAAAACACTTAATATATAGCCTTTTACCTAAACTCAACCCTCACAGTAAACCTGTGGCAACATTTAAATATCAAAGACTTTAAGTATGATTTTTAAGCTAATTAAATTGCAGGGACACCATTTAACCACCTTAATAAAGTACAACTAGGTCATACCCATGTCTTGAAACAACTTTGTGTCCCCATAAACCACATAAACTTGTAAACACTGTAAAAACCGATTATTGTATGGCTCTACCCCAAATCCAACCCTCATAGGAAACGTGGACAATTTTGAATATCCAAAGACCTTGTTAATATCATTTTTAAGCAATTTGAATTATAATGATGCCTATTAACCACCTTAACACAGTACAATTAAGTCATGCCCATGTCATTTTACAACATTGTGTTCCTGTATGCCACATAAACCTGTACACACACCGGCACAAACACACACACACAAACTTGCATGCATGATTTACAGGGACACTCCATAGGCGTAATGTATTTTATACTGTAAAAGCCACTTATTATATGGCCCTAATCCTAAACCCAACCCCTTATAGGAAGCATGTGGATGATGAATATCAAAAAACTTTGTTAAAATGATTTTTAAGCAGTTTGAATTACAGGGACACCAATTAACCACTTTATAGAGTACAACTAGGTCATATTCCTATCATTATACAATGCAAACCACACAAACCTGTGTGTCTCTGTAAACCACATAAACCTGTACACACACAGATGCAAAAAACTCTCTCACACACGCGCACACACATACACACACACACACACATACACACACACACACACACAAACTTGTATAGATGGTTTACAGGGTCACTCCATGGGCGTAGTGTATTTTATACTGTAAAAAAAAACACTTATTATATAGCCCTCCGCCTAAACCCAACCCTCACAGTAAACCTGTGACAACATTTAAATATCAAAGACTTTAAGTATGATTTTTAAGCTAATTAAATTACAGGGACACCATTTAACCACCTTAATAAAGTACAACTAGGTCATACCCATGTCTTGATACAACTTTGTGTCCCCATAAACCACATAAACTTGTAAACACTGTAAAAAAACGATTATTGTATGGCTCTATCCTAAATCCAACCCTCATAGGAAACGTGGACAATTTTGAATACCTTTTTTGACCTTGTTAATATCATTTTTAAGCAATTTGAATTATAAGGACGCCTGTGAACCACCTTAACACAGTACAATTAAGTCATACCCTTGTCATTTTACAATGCTGTAAACCACATAAACCTGTATGTGCCGGTAAACCACACGAACCTGTACATACACAGATGCAAAAACTCTCACACACGTACACACACACACAAACTTGTATACATGGTTTACAGGGACACTCTATGAGCACAGTGTATTGTATACTGTTAAAAACACTTATTATACAGCCCTTCGCCTAAACCCAACCCTCACAGTAAACCTGTGGCAACATTTAAATATCAAAAGACTTCTTTAAGTATAAATAAGCAAATTAATTAAAAGGGACACCAGTTAACCACCTTAATAGAGTACAACTTGGTCATACCCATGTCAACTTTGTGTCCTTGTAAACCACATAAATTTGTACACACACACGTTGGCTTTGTAAGTTTTTTTTTAAATTTTGTGTATCTTTAATGAATATTTTGACTGATTTCGCAGGTTCTGATTGAGCACATTGGTAATCTGGACCGGGCGTATGAGTTTGCGGAGCGCTGTGGGGACGGGTGTGTGTGGAGTCAGCTGGCTCAGGCGCAGCTCCACAGAGGACTGGTGAAGGAGGCCATCGACTCCTACATTAAAGCTGGAGAACCGTCTGCATACATGGAGGTGGTGGACGCTGCCAATAAAAGTGGTGAGAGATCAGTCTTTCTAAAATGACCTTAATGTACACATGAAATCAAAACTAACCATGTTGATTTTGTTAGCTCGCATTGCTAGTTTTGTGGTGAACAATTCATCTGTGCATGTCATGAAGAAAAAAATCTGAAAATGAAAATCCCTCGTAATCTAAAATTAAAATTTAAAGATGCACTTCCTGTTTGTTTCCAGTCTGACGTATTGTCAGTTTTTACTGCGCTATTATGAAACTAAAATCCTGCCAAATGTAATACTAAATGTAAAATGAAAAAATCGATTGCGTGTAAAAACATTTACTTTGCAAAAGAGAAAACCAAATGCAGAACTAGCAACAATGTGGTCACGTACGAAAAGATAATGAGGTGAAACACACATTAAAATGCGTTTACCATTACATAACACAGAACTGAAACCTGAATTCAAAGCTTTCGTGATTGCAAACTAAATCAGTTTTCTCCTCATATTTGAATGTTGTCTGTGCTGGAGGTCTGCATTCTCGACCAGATTTCTGCGGCGCGGGAATAAATTTCTGAATAAATCACGGGAGCGGTCGGTAACGGGTTTAATTTGGGACGGGAGCGGGCTGTCTAGCAATATCCCTCCCGACTCCCGAGCAAGCACGCGTATGTATGTGTGTAAATGAAATAGCGCGATGCTGTGTTTAGCTTGTTTGTTGCTGTGTGTGTGTGTATGTGTGCGCACGTGCGAATGAGAGGTGTGTGTGTGTGTGTGTGTGTGTGTGTGTGTGTGTGTGTGTGTGTGTGTGTGTGTGTGTGTGTGTGCGCGCGCGAATGAGAGAGAGAGAGATTTGCCTGTGTGTGTGCTTGGTGCTTATGTGTGTGTGTTAGTGCGCGCGCGAAAAAGAGAGAGAGAGCTTTGTCTGTGTGTGTGTGTGCTTGGTGCTGTGTGTGTGTGTGTTTATACAGACAGCTGGTTATAGGCTGTCTGGACTGTAAAGTTGGGTGATTTTCGGTTTTGTTCTCCACCCCGCTCTTTAGCGGGATCAGGCGCAGCGGGTAGAAAATGGGGCGGGGCAGGCAGCGGGACAACAAATGCTGAATGTAAGTGGGAGCGGTCGGGTTCGAGCTAAAACCTGGCGGGAGCGGGATTCAAAATTTAGTCCCGCGCAGATGTCTAGTCTGTGCCTATGGTCTTTTCCCCTTTTTGTTTCCACATTTTGCTTGTTTTATTTGTGTATACAGGGTGGGCCATTTATATGGATACACCTTAATAAAATGGGAATGGTTGGTGATATTAACGTCCTGTTTGTGGCACATTAGTATATGTGAGGGGGCAAACTTCTCAACATGGGTGGTGACCATGGTGGCCATTTTGAAGTCGGCCATCTTGGATCCAACTTTTGTTTTTTCAATAGGAAGAGGGTCATGTGACACATCAAACTTTTTGGGAATTTTACAAGAAAAACAATGGTGTGCTTGGTTTTAACATAACTTTATTCTTTCATGAGTTATTTACAAGTTTCTGACCACTTATACAGTGTGTTTAATGTGCTGCCATTGTGTTGGATTGTCAGTGCAACCCTCTTCTCCCACTCTTCAAACACTGATAGCAACACCGCAGGAGAAATGCAGCACAGGCGTCCAGTATCTGTAGTTTCAGGTGCTGCACATCTTGTATCTTCACACCATAGATAATTGCCTTCAGATGACCCCAAAGATAAAAGTCTAAGGGGGTCAGATCGGGAGACCTTGGGGGCCATTCAACTGGCCCACGACGACCAATCCACTTTCAGGAAACTATTCATCTGGGAATGCTCGGACCTGACACCTATAATGTGGTGGTGCACCATCTTGCTGGAGAAACTCAGGGAATGTGCCAGCTTCAGTGCATAAAGAGGGAAACACATCATCATGGAGCAGTTTCAAATATCCAGCAGCATTGAGGTTTCCACTGATGAAGAATGGCCCCACTATCTTTGTTGTCTATGGAGTGAAGATACAAGATGTGCAGCACCTGAAACTACGGATACTGGACGCCTGTGCTGGCATTTCTCCTGCAGTGTTGCTATCAGTGTGTGAAGAGTGAGAGAAGAGGGCTGCATTGACAATCCAACACAATGGGCAGCACACTGAACACATTTTATAAGTGGTCAGAAACTTGTAAATAACTCATGAAAGAATAAAGTTATGTTAAAACCAAGCACACCATTGTTTTCCTTGTGAAATTCCCAATAAGTTTGATGTGTCAAATGACCCTCGTCCTATTGAAAAAACAACAGTTTAATCCAAGATGGCCGACTTCAAAATGGCCACCATGGTCACCGCCCATCTTGAAAAGTTTGCCCCCTCACATATACTAATGTGCCACAAACAGGACGCTAATTTCACCAACCATTCCCATTTTATTAAGGTGTATCCATATAAATGGCCCACCCTGGGTATAAATATATACGTGTTTTATAAATATGTTTGTAGTTTTGTCTATGTACACTATATTTATTAAGATTTGTATAGCTATGCCCATTTTAGTACTCTTTTATATTAGCTTTGTTCATTGTATAATTGTTTTTAGGGAGACCATAACCATGCCATAATTTTTATTGTCTTTTGGTTAATTCTGGTGCATTTACGGCAATGTTAATTAATGTACACCTTCCCTGCCAAATAAAGCAATAAATAAATAAATTACACACTGCAAAAAAATAGTTTTTCTTACTTACAGTTTTTGTCTTGTTTTAAGTCCAAATATCTAAATCAAGATGCATTTTCTAGACAGGTAAACGGAGCTTTTTCTTAAAACAAGCTAAATAATCTGCCAATAGTGTAAGTAAAATAATGTTGTTTTCACTTTAAAAAAATATATTTTTCTTACCACATTGGGATTTTTTATTTTGTGTTTCAACAGGTAACTGGGAGGATCTGGTAAAGTTTCTTCAGATGGCGAGAAAGAAAGCCCAAGAGTCGTATGTGGAGACGGAGCTCATATTTGCTCTGGCTAAAACAAACCGTCTGACAAAACTGGAGGATTTCATCAACGGTCCAAACAACGCTCACATACAGCAAGTGTGTAAACTAGGGATGCAGCAGCAAAATAGCCTTAAAGGTCCTGTGAAGTGCTTTGAAATGTGCAGTTTTATTCAGTGTTTGACGTAATCTGAGGGTGTACTCACACTATGCTATCCGAACCATGCCCAGGCGTGTTTCCCGGTTCGTTTGAGAAGTGTGAGTGCTCTGAATCAGGCTCTGGCACTGTTCTCTTGGCCGGCCTTGGCCCGGTTGGAAGAAGTGTGCCAGAGCTTGGTTCACTTGGGCTTTGGCACAGTGTGCTTGTAGTGTGAGTGTAAAGTGCGCCTGAGCCCGAAACTGAAGGCGAGACGTGACTTTTACAGGACTGTTTCACATAGATTTATTAATCATTCTGACTGTTCAATAAACGCAAACTGTCGTAGATTATTAAAGACGCAATCCCCTCACTGCACAACAGCTGCGCACCTTCAGCAAACCTCCTAATACCTGCAGTACGAGGACTTTATGGTTGTTTATGAGCGTCAGAAGTGGCTGATTTGTTTGGCGAAATATTTGACTGCTTCATGAGTTCACACTTGCATTTGTTTAAGAATAAGGCGTATTTGGCGTGCTGTCCGGGGAGAGGCCCCTGTGCTTGGGGAGACACCCCAAATCGAGTTATTCCCCTTATCAGGAAACAGAGGAGTTGGGATTCGAGCGAAGTATCTAGCCCAGCCCCAGAACTCCCTCCCGGGAATATAATGCTTAAGAGGTGAGGTGACGGGGTGGTGGAGGGATGCTAAAGTCGTGAGATGCTGCAGGTAAGACAGCTGATTTGATAATAGCATAATTGTCAATGACGTATTCGATACGGAAACTTCTGCGCATGCTCCCCCCGAAATTTGTTTACAAAACATCACATATCAAACCACTAAAGCGATATAACTGATAGGGTAGCACGGTTGCTCAGTGGTTAGCACTGTTGTCTCACAGCAAGAAGGTTGCTGGTTCGAGTCCCAGCTGGGTCAGTTGGCGTTTGTGTGGAGTTTGCATGTTCTCCTCCTGTTGGCGTGGGTTTCCTCTGAGTGCTCCGGTTTCTCACACAGTCTAAAGACATATGGTATAGGTAAATTGAATAGGCTAAATTGGCCGTAGTGTATGTGTGTGTATGGGTGTTTCCCATTACTGGGATGCAGCTAGAAGGGCATTCGCTATGTAAAACATATGCTGGAATAGTTGGTGGTTCAGTCTGCTGTGGCGACCCCTAATAAATAAGGGACTGAACCGAAAGAATGAATATGTTCTGATTAATGCTTGTATTCAGTGTGATGTGTTTCTCTCTGTGTAGGTTGGTGAGCGGTGTTATGAAGACTGTATGTTTGAAGCCGCTCGTCTGCTTTTTAATAACGTGTCTAATTTCGCTCGTCTGGCGTCAACGCTCGTTCATCTGGGAGAGTTTCAGGCGGCAGTCGACAGCGCACGCAAGGCCAGCTGCACACGCACATGGAAAGAGGTGGGAATTCAGTGCAAACTGATTTATTTTTATTCTGCGATTCATGATTGTATTTTTCCTGTTTATTTCTGCTTTTAAATGCATTATGGGAGCTTGATCTTTCTTCATCTTTTAACCTTTAAAAAATCCAAAAAGGGACTTTTATGAACATTTGTAATAGTTTGCATTGCTTTATAGTCTGGGTTGGTGTTGTCAGTTACACTACAAACACCTTGTAATCAACTGCCAGTACATTCTCTGTTATTTTACAGGCTTCTTTCTCTGGATATTATTTGGTAACACTTTAATTTGATGCTCCATTTGAGTATCAGTAGACTGTAGGCGTGTAACGATTTATCGTTGTACGATTTATTGCGATGCAAAAATGTCTCGATATGCATCGTGGCGTTATGACGATTTGATTACGATATGACGTCCGTTTTCTCTTATTAGTTGAGCTGTTTGCACGTGAGCTACGTTCCACCTGCTGTCGCACGTGAGTTCAGATTGCAGCAGCAGTAATGTTAGCAGACCAAGATGAGTGGAGTTGAAATAGAGGATGGCCCATCCTCTCAAAATCAGACGTCTGGCAACATTTCGGTTGTACAGTCATTGCTTTAGACTCGTCCGCTTTTTGACACGCATACTGGGTCAAACATCCTAAGTTTTAAAGTCTTCACAGTGATTTACATACTTTGCACAGCGACAGGTATACCTCCTAATGGTGTTGAAAGAGTCACATACTGTTTTTATAAGGTACAATTCAGCCTAAAATATCATTCTGTCTTCATATAATGATGTATTGGCAGCCGCAAAATCACACATGACGTGAGCTGACCGAGAGCTGTTACTACAGAGGGCGGACTGATAGACGTGCGCGTATGGCAAGCCGTTTTAGCATTTAAACCTTTGTTCTGACTATCCATAAATATATTTTGAGATATCTCTAATTATATTTTAACTAGTCATAATTATAATTCGACTAGTCAGAATGACAATTAGAGATATCTGCAATTACAATTGTACTAGTACGAAATCAGATTGGAAATATCTGCAAATATATTATGACTAGTCATATTCCTCCATTTACTTCCATTGAAAAATATTTGCAGATATCTCTAAATGAGTTTTGACTAGTCACAATTGTAATTAGAGATGTCTCTAAATTATTTTAATTAAATATGAATTAAAAACCTGGAAATGTGGAGTTTTTTTTGCACACACAAAAAACGCAAGTGACCAAGCAAAGCCTTAAGCTCTTACTGTTAAATTCAATTGAATAGAAAGCTTATTTTTTTGCACCTTTACTTAAATTGTTCCTTAATTTCATTTCATTTCATTAAGAATCATTTCAATAATATTTTAAAGAAGTTTTTAAATTGTTTTATTTTCCAGAGACAGGGCTGTTTAATTTATTTTCTTAAAGAAGGTTCACTTTAACAAGTTGAAACAAAAGAAATACATAAAAAATAGTGGTCACACTTTACAATAAGGTTCATTAGTTAAAGTTAAGTAATGCATTTACTAACATGAACAAACAATGAACAATACATTTACTACTGTAATTGTTCATGTTAGTTAACGTTAGTTACTGAAAATACAGTTGTTCATTGTGAGTTCATGTTAACTCATGGTGCATTAACTAATGTTAACAAGCATGGCCTTGGATGTTAACAATGAATTAGTAAATGTTCAATTATGATTAATAAATGCTGTACATGTGTTGTTCATGTTAGTAAATGCATTAACTAATGAACCTTATTGTAAAGTGTTACCAAAATAGTTTACTTGGTAAAATTTGCATTTCAGTTTAATTTTCAATTTTTATTCCAAATATCGTGATACATATCGAATCGTGAACATTATATCGTGATACACATCGTATCGTGAGCTGAGTGTATCGTTACACCCCTAGTAGATTGTCTACTTAATATCTGCTGAAACTGCTCCTTCAACAGACATTTAACTGACTATAAGAAACTTTGCAAATACATGTCAACTTACACTAACCTTAACCTAACAGTCTACTTATAATCTAATGAGAATGAGTTGGCATGTAGATGCAGTGTAACTTAATTCAACAAATGGGCCATCAAAATAAAGTGTAACCATATTATTTCTTACATATTATTGTTACGACTTTCAAGTTTGGCTCTGGGGGTTAAAAAAGGTATGATTTGATGTGATTAAATTTTGTGGCAAAATATCAAAACAACAACCAAAATACTGCAAAAATAAGTGAATGTATTTACAAAAGTGAAAAGAAGTCAAACAGCAAAAATATATACAAGATCTCACAAAAGCAAATAAATCCATCAATGTATATTATGGATGGGGAAACGAGAATTAAGTGGCGCCAAATAAAAGAAAACAATATAACAAAAACCCCAAAACTAGCTGGCATTACTCTTTAAACTATCTAATAGAAAATAAACAAAACATCTTCAGCGTTTGCACGCTATAACTGAGCAACCCTTCTTACCAAAACTACAGAGAAAACTTACAGCGGGTGGCGCTCACTTCTAAACTGGTGTGTTTAGACAGTGGAGTTATCTGCGTGATGCGAGCTGTATGCCACGTGACATCTAAGGCCCCGTTTACACTAGTGCGTTTTAGTTTTAAAACGGCGTTGTAGAATGAAAACGATCCGCGTCCACACTCGCGTTTTACCCAGCGTTTCTGAACTGCTCTCCGTCCACACCAAAACGCTGAAAACGCACATCACGTGACCACACACACACTCTCGGGCAAGCGCTCCAGCATTTCTACCCAGATGAGAGCTCTGCTTGTCGGACTGCTCATCAAGCATCTCCCGCTGGATCTAATCTCACTATATTTGCTAAACGTGATATTTCATTCATGTTTTTGTCTTTATCTAACGACATAGGCCAATTCCCTGACTTTGGTCATTGGAATCTATTAAGTTACTTGTTCACGGGTAACATGTTTTGGTTAAGCGCAAAGATAAGTTAATGATTAATCCAGGTACATTGACTGATCGCTTGCTTTTATTTCCTACAATGTATACATTTATTGTATATTATACTTTTATAATTATCGATTATTAAAACTGATATTCAGCAAAAGAGAGGGTGCGTTTCGTATTTTCACTGAAATTGAAAGGAGGCAGTTGTTATCGGCTCCGTTTTGTTATAAATATCCACACAGTGAAGATGACACTCATAAATGCAGCACGACACCTCAACATTTCTGCTGTCTTTTAAGTTGCTAATATTAAAAAGAAAATAGGCAGTTCCTTAAATCATGTTTACATTTTATTGTTAAGAAAGTGAAACAACGTAGCCAAGGTGATGTGAATGAAGTTATAAAGTACACTGTTCCCTTTGAAGATTTACCCGTGTCCTCGGTATGTTTTCCATATCAAACTGAGAAGGGGGAGACTGCAGCCTTGATCAAACTTGCGAAGTCTGAACTTACAAGAAGAGGATGCGAGACTGAACTGTGTGTGTTAGGCTACTTAATATTGAGGAAAAGCCCCAATCAGAGAGGTGAACGTTTGCAGCCCCGCCTTCGTTTTCAGATGTCTCCGTCTTTCCCAATCCACACTGAGACGGAGCAGCAGCGTTTTAGAATGAAAACGGCCTTTCCAGGGCTGACACCAGAGATCAGGAAAATGTCACATACACACATACAAGACGGTAACAGCGACCAACAGCATACACACACAAGCAAAATATACAATTCAATTCAATTCAATTCAGCTTTATTTGTATAGCGCTTTTACAATGTAGATTGTGTCAAAGCAGCTTCACATAAATGCTCATAGTAACTGGAACAGTGTGGTTCAGGTTTTAGTGTTTAAGTTCAGTTCAGTTCCGTTTAGCTCAGTTCAGTGTGATTTAATCATTACTGAGAGTTCAAACACTGAAGAGCAAATTCATCGATGTGTAGCTCTACCAATCCTGAACCATGCGAGGCAGTGGCGACAGTGGAGAGGGAAAAGAACTTCACCTGATGGGAGTGAAGAAAAAAAACCTTGAGAGAACCAGACTCAGTTGGGCACGACCATTTTAATTTCTCCACTGGCCAAAAGTCTTGTGCAGAGCTTCATTCGCCGTGGTTGAAGCCATATACATATGACTGTAACAATTATACAGTGTTGGGCAAACTACTTGACAAATGTAGTGAGCTAAGCTATTAGCTACTCTACTTAAAATGTAGCTTAACTACACTAAAAGCTACCCCCTGGGAAATGTAGCAAGCTAAGCTAAAAGCTACATGGCAAAAGTAGCTTAGCTACATCTAAGTTATTTTTGCAAATTTTATTTTTAAATCGAAGCAACTTAAATCCAAGTCAATCATATGAGATCAATAAACCTGTCAATGAAGCATATGAGGCATAATAGTTCAGTTCAGTTATTTACTGTAAATAATATGCTGTACTGAACAGAAACACATTTTAGTATATAACAGCTAAAACTAAAAATCCAATAAAAACAGGTGTTACACATTTAAATTACTATAGTCATTTATAGTAAAGGAAAATATATATATATATATATATATATATATATATATATATATATATATATATATATATATATATATATAAAATCAATATATATATATATATAAATATGACTCTCTTTTTTTTTTTTTTTTTTTTTTTTTTTTTTACATATATATGTGTGTGTGTGTGTGT